AAAAAAAAAAAAAAAAAAAAAAAAAAAAAAAAAAAAAAAAAAAAAAAAAAAAAAAAAGAAACAAGACACAGAAAGCCATGTATTGTAGGATTCTTTTCATATGAAATGTGCAGAATACTCAAATCCATAGAGGCAAAAAGTAGATTAGTGGTTGCCTGGGGCTGAAGGAGTGGGGCTTGGGGACGAATACTGCTAATGGTACAGATGTCCTTATCAGGGTGATAAACACTATTCTGGAAATAGACTGTGATGATTTTTACAGAATTCTGTGACTGCACTAAAAACCACTCATACTTAACAGGTGGCAATTATAGTATGTGAATATACATCAATAAAGCTGTTGTTTTAAAAAAATATTGTGAAACCCCAGTTTGACACGAAAGAGGAAAAGTTTGCACTGGTTGTAACTGTATAGAGAACTTCACCAAGGAAGTCAACCTTTTAGGTGGGGTCTCAGGAAAGGCACACATGGCCAGAGCTGGGCAACAGCACACGGAGAGGGCTGTGGAATTATATCTCATGGGAGTAATCGGAGGAACTGCTAACATGGGGCATAGAAGCGGACCTGGGAGGTGTAAAATGATGAGAGAGGGTGAGGAACATGGCTGAGATGGCTGTGCCAGGGACTCTCTTAGGATTACTCAGGAGGCAGGTCTTTGGCCATTTGACTCACACTAAGTTTATGCACAGAACAAACCACAATAGACATGGTAAATCCCAGCACAGCATCCGTGATTACTGGCAGTGATTCCACCAACTTCTCTCATGACTGTGACCACCGATACTCTTTTTACCTGTATTAAATCACATGTGTAGCAAAATTTAGAGATATATCTACCTCGATAGGTTGTTTTAAAAAATAAATATTAATATACCTGTACAAATCAGAGCATAATCTCTAGAATATAAACGGCACCCACTGGAAGTGAATTACTTTATCAACACCTGATACTCTATTCTCTTAGGTTTCTATAAACCTATAAAATCAAAGGCAAAAGGCATTTGACCGTTTGGTTGTTTTTGTCTTTCAGGATTGATATGTATACAGAAGGTATGGCAGATTTGTATGAAATGATCCTTCTTCTGCCCTTATGTAAACCTGAGGAAAAAGATGCCAAGGTTGCCATGGCCAAAGAGAAAACAAAAAATCGCTATTTGCCTGCCTTTGAAAAAGTAAGTGAAGGTGTTCAGTGTTTGGGGCACTGAGTTTAGAGGACAGTAGAAAAATAGTGGCTGGGCACTCCTGGGCGACACTGACCTTCACTTTCAGTGAGACTTCCTGAACACCAATGCAGCACTCTGACTCTCAAGAGATTTTATGAAAATAGACTTGGGGGAACAATTATACCAGTTATACCCAAGCTGTAATTTTCCAATAAAATTTTAATTTACTAGACCCCAACATGAAATTTTCTGTTCAACCAAAATTTCATGTTCATAAGTAGAATGTGGGCTGTGGAAGGCTCTGAACCACACTAGGGGTTGCTTTTGAGTCCGTGGAACACCACAGACTTTGATTGAAGACGAACATGATGAAAGCGATCTATCAGAAAATATTCTGGCACCATGTGTAGGAAGACACGAGACCAACTGCCAACCAGAGAATATTGTAGTGTTTCAGGGATGGGTACTTTTCAAAAGGAGAGTGACTGTGGGATGCAGAGGAAGATTTTGTAAAATGAATTTGATAGTAAGTTGCAGACATCAGTGCAGTTCACCCCTGAATGCTTCAGCTTGCAGGTTATAACGTAGTGCGGGTTAGGAGTCAGAATCGATGTTGTAAGAAAGACGATGAATTCAAGTTCACCCAGGTTTACTTCAGATCCCAGGGAGATAGAACAGGGAATGAGGAGAGCAGACAAGGAGAAATGAAGACTCTGAAATAGCCTACTCCTGGGGGAAAAGAGCCGTCATGAAGGTGGAGTTGCTGCCCAGGGGAGATTGGAGAGGGAGAGAGCAGAGTAGAGCCGCATCCTGAATGTCAGGACTGCGCGCTGGAGGGCGTGGGGCAGACAGAACACGCAGAGGCAGGGGCTAAGCCCTTGGCCCATGTGGAAGAGGCAAGCTGGGTGGGTAATGTAGATGCCACAGTGATATGGAATGAGAAGAGAAAATGATAGCCTGAGCTCCAACTGAGGAGTGGGCTGAGCTATACTTCTTACTCTGTCACTCATTAAGATGTGGAGAAAGTTCTGGATCTCTGCACTCAGGCAGTAAGGTGACAGAGGTGGGGAAAGTCAGGGTGAAGAGGCTTAGAAAGAAGCAGGGGTACTGCGCATGTGTTCCTGATCTGATTCCTCAAAATCTCCAGGTCTTAAAGAGCCACGGGCAAGACTACCTTGTTGGCAACAAGCTGAGCCGGGCTGACATTCAGCTGGTGGAACTTCTCTACTATGTGGAAGAGGTTGACTCCAGCCTTATCTCCGGCTTCCCTCTGCTGAAGGTGACCCATTTCACCACCCAGAGAGGCAGCCCCACATCTCCCATCTTGGGATCTAGTATCTGGGCCCTGGGACTGACCGTGTTCTAACCCCAGCCTTCTCCAGGCCTGGAGTGCTCCCAGGTCTCCAAAATGAGCTTCCAGGCTTCAGTTTTGAGAAATGAAAACACTTTTGTTATGGAAAGGAAATTTGTGGTGCATGCTACCCCATGAAGAGTATTTTACCTTTTATCATGGAAAGGACCCAGGGCCCAGAATCTCTCCCTAACCCTCTATTCCCTGTGGTTTCTGTCCCTGAGTTCTCTGTGATGCCCTTTATTCCAGATGTGTCTTGTCTTCTTGCACCGAGTCTGTCTGAGCAGGGCCCTTTCCATCTGGTTCCTTCCTGGGCTCCGGCTCCTGCTGTCAGACGTTGTGTTCCTCTCTGCACAGCTCTCCCAAAACACTGCCCCAACCCTGTATCCCTCACTGAGAAAAAGTGGTCCCATGGTTTGTCTTTAATATTTTCTATAATATATTCCTTTCCAACTAATTTCCCCATATTTTCACTTCTGCTTAGAGACTGACCTGTGTTGATATCTCACAGGCACATTGCTTCTTCTTGTCTTACACAACAGCCACAAATCTATAGGATTAATATGTAAGGAGAAAAATAGGGATGACAGAACTGATTAAAACATTTTTGGGGAAGATACAAAGTAAGCTACATGTTCTCCCTCTTATTGTCATTTCTCACTGGGTGTCTGTTTCTGCCTCCATGCTGGTGCTGCTGGAGGGGACTTACCTGGTCTTTGGCAGGAGGGCTCAGATTCCCTAGATTGTGTTAATAGTGGCGTTAGCCCTTGGCTTCACTCTGAGGCTGTGCTTTGTGAATTACAGGCCCTGAAAACCAGAATCAGCAACCTGCCCACGGTGAAGAAGTTTCTGCAGCCTGGCAGCCCGAGGAAGCCTCCCATGGATGCGAAAACTTTAGAAGAAGCAAGGAAGATTTTCAGGTTTTAATAAAGCAGCCATGGAGGCCAAAAACATGCAAGGCCAATATTCTAAAGCTTTGCAACAATAAAGTGCTTTACCTAACTGTTGATTGTGCCTGTTGTGAGGCTTATGAACTCTTTCCACTTACATGGTAATTAAATAATAGAAAACTCCTATTTGCCGACTTAGTTAAAATTGATTTCTTTTCATAAGGATCTGATATGAATTCAGATTTCCAATCTCCTCCTAGCCTATCATATCACTTTCTTGGAATTAAAAATTTAGTAAAAAAGGAAACTATAGAAAATGTGGTGTGTTTGACTTTTCCAAGAATTGTCCTGTAACATTTGTCATACAATTTATTAAAAAGTCAGGTGTAGAAACGTACGTCTGACATTTTCAGGTATGCACAGGGAAAGAGTTACCATTCTGGGTAATGGCTTAAAGACACTTTCTTCTTTTCCTGGACAGTCAGTTTATTTCTGATAAAAGCATTCTTTCTGACACATTTTCAAGACGGCTATTCCGTCTGCTGTGGCTTCCTCAGTTTTCTGGGAGGTGAGGAAATACTGAAGAGCAAGCAGACCCGCCCTCTGCTCTCAGGCCACCCTGCTGTCCCTCACAGTGCGTGTGCTCCTGGCTCATCCTCACTCTGCTCCTTAAGGCTCTGTGGGGCCCCGGGCCTGAGCCTTCCCTCAGTTCCCTCAGTGCTACTCAGGCCTGGGCTGCCAAGACGCAGATGGTATCTGTGAATCACATACAAGTAACTAAATGCAAAATCATTTTTCCCTGGTGTGTCAGTGTGCCAGAGTGCTTGGATTAGGTGCGCTTCCTAGCTTCAGCCTCTACTGTGCCTACAATGCTAATCCCTCCCAGGATACCTGGGCTTCTGCAAAGTGAGCTCTCCTCCTCTGAGAGTGGCTTCCCCACAGTTGGTGAAGGTGGGTGAGGGAGCAGACACACAGGCTTCCTACCTGCAGCTTCACTTTGCTCTCGTCTCTTCTCTGCTTATAACAAGAGTAGTTTTTCTAAAACACACACACACACACAATCACAGAATTCCTCACTGCATACAGAACGTATCCTCACACCCATCCTCACTCCCTGATCTCCAGCCCAATCAACCCTCTGAGCATGGTTAGGGCCTCTTGCCTTCCTGCCTGGGTGCATTTGTTACCCCTGCCTGGCAAGCTTCTTCCCAGTGGCCACACTTAACGTTACCTCACTGCTTCCCAGGAGCAGCGGGGCTGTCTTCTGTGCTCTCCACAGAGCCCCAGTGAGCCTCTAATAACACCTGAAGGCCACTGTGTCTGCTCCACTGTCCTGTGAGCTCATGGTGTGGGGATTGGCCTGCTGGGTCCCCAGTGGCTCATCACCAATGGGCAATGACATCTGCACAGATCCATGCACAGCTCTATCACGCCTCCAGAACCTGGGTATACAAGACTGGGCTTTCAGAACTCACAAATCCCCACACACTCTATCTATCTGTATTCATTCATTAATTTCTTTAAAAAATATTGACCCACATTCCTCAAATGCTTTGTAAGGACCTTGCTCGGATGCTGACCAAAATAAACAAACAGCTAAGAAATTTTCATGGGACACTTACGTGAACTAGAATGCTGAAACTTTAATGAAATTGAGGAATTATAGAATTTTAATATGATAAGAGAATTGTGTGACTATGTTCAGAAAAGAAGTTCTTCCTTTCTAGAGAGCATTACTAGTATTTACAGATTAAATGATATGCTGTCTGGGATTTGCTTCAAAAGAATCCCCGGGTAGTGCGGGGAGTAGGTGGGACTTTGTATTATTTTCTTGTGGTTCCTCTCACAGATTCCTACAAACTGGGTGGCTTGAAAAAACAGAAATACTTTTTCTTACAATTCTGAAGGCCAGGAGTCTGAAGTCAGGGTGTGAGGGCCAGATTCCCCCGGAAGCTCTAGGGAACAATAATTCCCTGCCTCTTACACCTTCTGGGGGCTGAAATCAGTTACTGGTGCTGGTGGAGGGGCCTGGCTTGGTCCCCAGAAGCTCTAGAGAACAATCCCTCCCTGCCTCTTACACCTTCTGGGGGCTCTTGGCATTTCTGGACTTTCATGGATCATGGCCACGTCACTCTACTTTCTGCCTGGGGCTTCCAGCACCTCAGCCTCTGTGTGTCTGTGTCTTCTGTTGTCTATGTTGCAGGGACATTTGTGATTGGATTTAGAGCCTATCTGGATACACCAGGATGATCTCAAGTTCCCCAACTTGATTACATCTGCAAAGAGCCTTTTTCCAAATAAGATCTCACTTACAGGAACCAGGGATTTGGACATGGTCCTATCTTTCTTGGGAGCCAATACAACTTAACCCATCACATGGTATTGATGAAGGAAGGTTGCTGGCAATTGATGAATCCAGGTCACGGGTACCTTCAGGCTTGTTATATGATTCTCTCTACTTTTGTATTTGCTAGAATTTTTCCATGTAAATTTAAAAGCTATCTTATTTTAGGAGCTCCTACGATGTCCAGGTTCTATACAGGACATTGAGGACTGGACTCAAACAAGAAGGCTCTGCTCTCAGGGGCTCAAGGTCTAGGGGGAAAGCTGATATTGAATACATCATGTCAAATTAACGCAGGGAAAGACACAATAGAGAAAATACAGACACAATAGAGAAATACAGTAGGAGGTGAAACTAGAGAATCCTCTAGTGACATCCCCTCTCAAAACATGACCTAATCGTAGACATTTGTGAGACCAGGCTGGAGGTGAAATGAATGAGAAGACTGAGCAGATCTGTACTGTGACCCATGCCCTTTCCTCGATGAATCAGGTCTAAATTTACAAACGGCCATGACCAGCCCCTCCGTGTGCACTGCCAAACTTAGAAATCTTATATTCTCCAAATGATGCGCCAGATTGGGGCTTTTCAAAGTCAAAAGTTTATAATGCGATGGAATGAACAAAAACCCATTTACTCTTTCTGCTTCCAGTTTGATGAGAAATTTCTAGAATCTGCAGAGGATTTGGACAAGTTCAGAAATGGTAAGATGAAGTCTCTAAGTGCCTCTGATGAGGGTGTGTAGTAGAAGGTACACAAGGAAATTTGAACAGCCGGCAATGCGTATGTTTGTGTAGGGTGGTATTTGCGCATGGTGGAGAGGGAGTAACTGTTTAAAATGGAAGGGCTGTGGCTCTTTGATCAGGTCTGGCAACTCCCTCCAGGCTGAAAGGACTAGAGTTCTCAGTGTATTTGCTAGAGGAACTATCCCCAGCGCCCTGAGAATGCCCTTTCCTTGTTTTCATGCTTAGGTCACCATGAATGAGCTGTGGCGATCAGCTCAGGATCCCACACAGGCCTCCCCATCCAAAGACATGCAAGGACATGGATTAGATGAAAGGAAGAGAAATAGATGTGGCCATTGTCTTGAGTTTTGTTCTTTCATAGGGGGTGTGACAAGGTAATAGTATAGCAATATTGCAGGCTTTGAAGAGCACAGAAAGGAACCCTGACATAAAAACCTCTCAGAACCTGCCTTAAATGTCATAAACGTTATGAGACTTATTCTGGGAACCTCCCATTTTAAATGGCATCCTACTGGCAGTCCTGTTGTAACCTATCCCAACATCTTCCTAAAATATCCATAAAGATAAATCAACACAAAAAAGACAAGAGTCCTACTACGTATCTGGAGGGGAAATAAAAACATAAATGAAACAACACAATAAAAAGTTAAAGGAAGCTTGTTAACAAAAAGAAGGAGTACAGGAAGCTTTTTAAAAATGCACTTTCAAGTGAAATCTTATCGGGTAATAATTTCTTTTTTATTTCACAAATTTAGTCATTTCCACAACCATCTTTTCATCCTAAAAGAGTGGGATTCATACACATTTCACTCTCCTTGCTTTTCCTTCTTTCTAAAGATGGGAGTTTGATGTTCCAGAAAGTGCCAATGTTGAGATTGATGGGATGAAGCTGGCGCAGACCAGAGAAATTCTCAACTACATTGCCAGCAAATACGACCTCTATGGGGAAGACACAAAGGAGAGAGCCCTGTGTGATGTATTTTCTGTTCTTCCATCAAGAGACAATGTAGGAGTGATTTAGGTCCTTCCTTTAGTGGGTGGGTCCTGGCAGGGACCCTCAGAGTATATGCTAAGGTCCAGCATTGCAGAGTCCCATGGAACAGTGAACATGGTGTGGGTCCAGGCGAGGATGATGCTAGAAGAGGATGTAGTCCATGGAGCCAGCACCCTGACAGAGGTTTCCAAACACTGATGAACCCGCTGGAAAAAGGCATGTGCAGCACCACCACTCTGTCAGTTACATACACACCCAAGAGAAGAAAAATGGAGAAAGGGGCCGGGCGCGGTGGCTCAAGCCTGTAATCCCAGCACTTTGGGAGGCCGAGGCGGGTGGATCACGAGGTCAAGAGATCGAGACCATCCTGGTCAACATGGTGAAACCCCGTCTCTACTATAAATACAAAAATTCAGCTGGGCATGGTGGCATGTGCCTGTAATCCCAGCTACTCAGGAGGCTGAGGCAGGAGAATTGCCTGAACCCAGGAGGCGGAGGTTGCGGTGAGCCGAGATCGCGCCATTGCACTCCAGCCTGGGTAACAAAAGCGAAACTCCGTCTCAAAAAAAAAAAAAAAAAAAAAAAAAAAAAAAAAAAAAAAAAAAAAAAAAAAAAAAAAACGAAAAATGGAGAAAGGGTGCTCTGCAGAGAGGTGCCTGAGGAGTCTGCAGCGTCAGTTTTGCCACCACGGGAGCTTTGGATGGTGGTGGCAGTTCTGAGTGCTACCTGCTGGTGGTGGAGAGACAAATAAAAGAAAAGAAAAAAGTGGAAAAGAGGAGGCACCAGGAGACACAGTCTCCGGTGGCCAGGGGTGGATAGTGGCCGCAGTAGTGGCCTGGTGTATTAGTCAGGGTTCTCCAGAGGGAAAGAACTAATAAGATAAATGTATATATGAAAGAGAATTTATTAAAGAGAATTGGCTCACACGATCAGAAGGTGAAGTCCCACAACAGGCTGTCTGCAAGCTGAAGAGCTAGGAAGCCAGTAGTGGCTCAGTCCAAGTCCCAAAACCTCACAAGCAGACAAACCGACAGTGCAGCCTTCTGTCATTTGCTGGGGACCACTGGTGTAAGTCCAAGAGTCCAAAGGCTGAAGATCCTGG